GCAATTCTATATACAGTAAAGTGCAAAAGTCTTTGCCCTGTATATTGTCCAACATTTTTAAAGCATATCTCTCGAAATTTCTAGACAGATTTTTCGAGAACATTCTAGTAGGTGAGAAGAGGTATATATATAGCTGTGTATATCGCGATTCATCATAAACATTCTTCATCATTTTGGGAAAGAGGTCTCAAAAACGAAATCTTAGTACAATGAAAACGAAGCAATCAACTATTTTACATTATTGGAATAACAGCCATCGATCTCCTGCAACAATTGCTCGTATAACAAAGATCCCAATTAGGACTGTTAAATACAATATTGTCAAGATCAAAAACCAACGCACAATTGAGGATAGACCACGCAAGATTACAGCAAATGATGACAAAGCACTCGGTCAATGGATTCGGCGAGATAACATCGCAAGAACTGGTACAAAACTACTTCATGATCGAGATCTGAATGTCTAGATGGACAGTGCAACGTCAACTCAAACGAATGGGTTACAAAAGTACTTTGCCCTATGGAACACCAATGTTAACACAGAAGCACAAAGAAGCACGTGCTCAATGGGCAATCCAACATAAAGATGACGATTGGAGTCGAACAATATTCACAGATGAAACCTCTTATCAATTGTTTAGAAACACCATTCGTCGATGGTCAAAAACTCCAAGAGATGAAGTCAAGAGAATTCCCAAGAATAAACAGAAGATTATGGTATGGGGAGGCTTCAATCATTCATTCAAAACACTTATGAATGGTCCTTTCTATGTTCAAATTCTTCAAGATCATCTTATCCACAATGCCAGGAAGCAATTTCATTGACGATGGCGATTGCAGCAAGATAATGATCCGAAGCACAGAAGTCAGATGGCTCAACAATTTTTATGCAAAGAAGTACCGGAAGTGATCGATTAGCCGTCAAATAGTCCCGACATAAATCCGATCTAGAATGTCTGGTCTATCATTAAGCGTCGTGTCGAGAAGCGATATCCTAAATCATTTAGTAAAATCGATGAAATCACGATGCTTAGCCTTGATTGAAATGAAAGGAGAGAGAAGTAATTATTAATTGTAATACTTTTGTACCTTGTACTATGCCTTATCTTTGTATATATTTAGTTTTTATATTCATCATTTCTTCTCTAATAAATAGCTGAAATATTGAGGGCAAAGACTTTTGCACTTTACTGTATCTCGATAGTTATTTGAAGAATGTTTACACGACCTAAATATTTTTCCGTTACAGTTTGACTTATACTTATAATGGAGCAATACAAAATATACATCCTGTACTCCGAAGTAGAAGAAGCAATGCGCACACTGAAAAAGAACAAAAGTCCAGGATCAGATGGAATTGCAGCAGAAATGCCACAGGCTAGAGGTGAAGCACTAGCACGACAAATTCACGAACTATGCAATAGAGCATGGTACGAAGGTACAATTCTTCAAGAATGGGGAAAATCTGTCCTAGTGCCAATACCAAAGAAATGAGATCTAAGCGAATGTGCGAATTACCGAACGATCTCCCTCATCAACCACACAGGAAAAGTACTGCTGAACACGCAGGATTTAGAAAAGACAGAAGTACAATACACCAAATTCTGACACTCAGACTAATAGCAGAGAAGGCAAAAAGACAAGAAAAGAAAGTATACAACTGCTTCATAGACTTCCAAAAAGCATTCGACACAATTAAGCACAAAGTCATATGGGCAATGCTAAGGTCATACGGTATACAAGAAAAAATGGTGACTTTACTACAAAGATTAGGGAAGAACCAACGAGAATGGTTCAGTACAGACGTAGAGACCCGACAAGGTGATCCTCTGTCACCACTGCTGTTCATCGCATATCTCGAACGAGTGAATAGCCTGAGATTTGCCAATGACATTGACCTAATAGACGAAGACTGCAGTTCCTTACAGAAACAAATCGAGACAACGAGAATAGCCCCAGAACAAGCCATACACATAGGAGGAAAAACTATAGAAAATGTGGATAAATTCGAAGATCTAGGAAGCCTATTAACGTGGGATAACAGCTGTTCAGAAAAGATAAAAAAAGAAGAATAGGAAAAGCAACTGGAACAATGACAATCCTTGAGACATATATGGAATGGCAAGAAACTAACAATAAAAAACAAATTAAGGATCCTAGCAACGTGTGTCTTCAGTGTGCTACTATACGCCTCGGAAACATGGACCCTGAAAGAAACCGACAAGAAAAAGCTACTGGCATTCAAAATGAAATGCTACCGAAGGGTACTAAGAATCAGCTGGACAGATATGATATAATAGACATAGTTAAGAAGATAAAATTAAGACTATTCGACCATATCTGTAGAATGAACGATAATAGGCTAATCAAACACAATGTAGAGAATGGCTGGATGACATCAAAGACTGGTGCGGAAGCAGCAGACAAGACCTGTTCCACCAAGCGCAAGACCGACGGTTATGGAAGAAACTAATCCACAAAGTGGTTGGCCCCGATGGGCGATAAGCCTATGGGACATCATGAATGGAAATATATTGGAATGAGGAATAATTCTCATTTAAATAAAGTATAGAATAACTTCTTGAAATATTATATGTAATTTATACAAAAATGATTCAATCGCAAAAACACGTATCACAGTATAAACTCTGGTTCTAAAAATGGTATATGTAAAGTCAACCTTCTAGCAACGCATTGAAGCAGTTAAAAGAATTTAAAGTTGTCTTATTTTTCTATAGTCAATAAATGATCCAAAGAACTAGGGTATGGATGTAACGCGAGATAATTAATCGAAACTCTTCTAAGTAGTACACGACCAAGAATACTAATGAAAGAATGTTTTGGACAATACCAACTAGTAATAATTTATTCAATAATGTATTTACAATAAAACAATATAGCAATATTGCGCTGATAATAATATGTGCGCATGTTTCTCAATACAAGTCAAGTCGAACTATTTCTTCGAACAACTCAAATTTTAACTACTCTCTGACTTATAGTACTGCCTTATTCCCCCCAATATATCGTGAGCTTATATACTAGCGAGAGAGAAAAGGTACACAGAAAAATGACGTACTATATTTAGTTTTCTTGATGTTCATCTGTTGGAATCCGAAGTAAATGGAAGTGTAAAAGCACACGAATATCAATTTTTTTTCTATATCAAATATATTGTGCATGTACGCAAAAATTGCTCAATATTTACTACTTATTTTTGAATCAGACTTATAGATATGATTAATGAAGTATTTTACTAATAAAAATTTAATTCAAATAATTTCTTTTCTTGCTTATTTTCCTGAGAAAATTTATGATAGATCAGAGAAGTTTTTGGTAAACTATTTCTTCATCAGCTTTAATGTTGAGCTATCGTTGATATTGAATTATCAAATATTCTTCTTCTGACAACGCTAACTGAAAAACATCCAGCACTGCTAGAAAGAACATTTGTTTTAACTTCAAGGATGTGGAGTATGGGTGTTGATCCTCTGGACATCCACACCCACACCCTCAAGTTCTTCACTTTATTAATAAATTTGTTTCCTTGATAATTTAAGAAAGCTGAGATTTCAATGATTAGTGTATTATCATTTATTTCTGAACATCTATAAATAAATATTTAGGAGCTTTCCGAATTTATTTTGGGTGTGGGTGTCCTGAACATTAACACCGACACCCACCCCTTTCCTTAATAGACGAGATTAAATGAATCTCACGATATAAATATATTGAACCAGCCTCTTGTGTAAACTGAGAAAACAATGAATAAATGCCATAGAATAAAGTCATGAATATTGTACATAATATATGAGAAAAATACTATTCCGAATGATGGAATGAACTAAAAAGATCGATATATTGTTAGTAAATAGATTTCTATTAATCAATGAATTAGAAAAGCGTCGATTTTTTTATTTTTCTATTAACTGAAAAGGACAATTGTAAAAAGTCTACGAATTAAGAAGTGAAGTCAAATAATTTCGAAATATTCCCTTAAAGTGAAAATACGTGTGTACGTATGAAAAAGATTCATGGTAATGATGAAGAAAAATCTGAAAACGTTCATCCTAATTTTATTGATGAAAGTAATTCTTGAAGAACGATTTCATTCAAAGCAATTAATTATTCAGTGTGATGTCATTCGACATCATAAAAGATGTTATTTTATAGAGAAAAAAATATACATGACTCACCAGATGCTGCTGGAGTCAATTGCATTTGATTCATAGCAGATGCTAATGGTGGATCATTATTATCATCAATTTCAATTAAATGTACAATGCATGAACTATTCGATTGAGCCAAAGGATCACCTTTCACACAAAATTCGGTACCCATTCGTAGAATAACTTCATCTTCACTTTCATATTCTGTATATCCAGAAACTTTTTTTCCATTGATAGCTTCGATTAAGAATAGAGTTGATTTTTTGTTGTCACCAAGAAAATTCTTAATTACGTTCGGTGATGATGAACATGAATTAACACTCCACCACGTCACAGTTTGATTTTTAATGAAATTTTTACCAATATCAATAGGTACACCTCGCCATACTGCTTCTTTGACAGTAGGTAGCTTATCTAATGCTGTGTCAAATAGTTTAATGTACGGAAACCATATCTTTAGTGCTTGTCGGTTTTCTGATCGTAATGCTCTATTCAAAACACGATACAACGTAGTATCGCCCCATTCCATTGTATAAATATACACAGCAGCCGATTGATCTTGTGTTAGACCATGTTCTGATGGGAAATGACAGTACTTTTTAGCTATTTTTATGTAACGTGGTAGTTCATCAATATGAGGTATGATAGTTTCTAGCGCTTTTTCAATAGAAACAAGTTTTTCACTATGATAACCATAAACAGGTGGAAGTCTTTTATTTGAAGCATCGATATCACCAAAACGATTCATTATATCGATGTTTTATCGACTGTTGAATATTGATGAAAACACAGAAATTTACAAATTCCGAACAATTGATAACAAGGTTTTGGTCTAAAATACGCTGATTAAAATAAATATACTATTAAGATATTATCCTTCAATGTACAATATTAGAAAAATGAGGTAGTTATTTTTTGCTTTTTAACACGTATTTTATTAATGAAGAATCTGTTCTCAACCCATGGAAAAATATTGACAGAGAAAAACGAATAAGAACGCATTCTTTTTCAAGAACAACGTGTTCATACAACTTCCGAACTCGTTTGGGGATGCTTGCATATTTTGATACGAAAATATCTGTTTCCAGATCAAGATTCACTACTGTAGATTTACTGGATATTTGACACGATAAAAATTATACAGAAAAATTAAAAGCTAATTTTCTCCGGAAGGAGAATTATAATTTTTTTTGTACGAAAAACAAGAATTTCAATCTCGGGTGTGGGTGTAGGTGTGTGGATGTGACGGTTGAGATAAGTTACATACAATCCGTAAATACACGAGCGCTATCAACAACATGAATTATGTTGACACTGCTGCCAGTGTATGTAGAAATTGTATGTAACTTATCTCGACCGGATGTGACAGTATTCTTAACTCAACCACACCCACACCCATCCTCCGTAGCTCGAAATCAGACTTCACCGCTGATAAGATAATACTGAATAAATCTCAGAAGATCCTGCTTTGAGCTATGAAAAATCTGTCGAAATCATTGAATAGATCTACTCAAGTTGTGTTTCGATCATGAGTGGAGTACTCAGAACAAGCCCTTTGACGAATATGGCGCTAACAGTTCATAGAAAAACTACAATATTCTGAGATTTCCAGGGAGACGAAAAATCTAATTTTACAATTAGATGAAATTTGTTGAG